AAAAAAAAAGTATGAGTATTTTACGGTATTAATAACTAGGTAGCTTCATACATTTGTAGTACTCCCTCATCTTTTTAATAAGTTTCGTCTTAAAAAGTTACACAATAATTAAGAATATTTTTCTGTCAATAATAACCTCATTAATGAGGATAGAGAGGAATGTTTTGAGAAAAGGTGAAAAATGGATATTAAAAGGCGCAGTGTATTTATTAGCAATATGAGGTTAATAATAGAAAAATATGTACAAAAGATCCAAAACTTCATTTATTTAGTTAACTGTTGTTAACATCAAAATGACATTTAAAAAAAATAGGATGTAGTAAATATAAATTGTCTCGTCATATTTGGTCGGATAAATTTTTAACTCGAAATCCAACTCAACTCAAATGTCTTTAATATTATAAATAAAATAATATCAATGAATCATCACATGAATCACACACGTCAACTTTAATTTACTATTCATTCAATCATATAATTTTAACTACTTGTGTCTTCCAATCAACTCGATCTCTTCATTATCATCATTATAATAATATGAATAAATCATCCACACACATCACATCATTTTTAATTCACTATTTATTTAATTACATAATTTAATTATTTGTATCTCCTAACCACATTTCTCATCACATCAGCTTTAATCATTATTTTTTATATATTATTTTAACACAAACTAAAAATTTCATTCAAATCTAACAGTTCAAAATTTATTATAATTATCCAATAAAAATCAAAATAATTTATATTCAATTACACATAGGCCTCGTTGAAAAAGTACTGAAATTCGCCATCACTTTTGAGGCAAACATGACAGGATTATCAATCTATAATCCAGCTAAAATCAACAAAATAAGTTGGCTTATAATTATATATCAATGACAGAGAATGTTACACATGGCCAGGTGCCGAGTCTGGGCCCGGCCCTGCCCGGCTAGGCCCGCCAGGTCAGCGGACCTCAATTGTTGGGCCTTGGCAATTTCTAAGGGCCGGTTCATTTGAACCGGCCCGGCCCGACAGTTCGTTGAACCGCCGAGTTATAAAAAATAAAATAAAATAAAATAAACAACTATGACCTGTTGGAAAAAACGGAATCGGCTCGGCCCAACTCGGCAGGTCAAAAAAAAAGGAGAACCGAGACCGAGTCGCAAGGGCACGGTCCGGTTCATAGGCCCGCGCAATTCCAGGCCAATGCCGGTGCCGGTTCGCGGGTCGGGCCATGGGTCGGGCCGACCCGTGGCCATGTCTAGAGGATACGTAGTTGCTTTATAGGTGCTGCTTTAGACTACACAAATATTCTGCAAGTATCTCTCTCTGTCTGCCTGTCCCTATTAATCAATCCTCACAAGTTTTTCCAACTCTTGTTGCATCTAAATTGGCTTCCACTTAACTATTTCATTTAATTAAGAGGAGCATTTTCCTTAATTTCTTCAAGTTTTATTAAAATGATGACAATCTTGAGGAATTTCGTACCCACAAGTTCCAATTTCAAGGGAACTTTGTGATAATCCTTAAAATCAAACGTTTCTTTTCATAGTTTTGAAACCCGTCTCGGAAATCAACCTGGACAGGTCACTGGGTCACCGTTCAACCGCCGAGTCATCGGGTCAATTGTTGAACCGGATAATTAATTTTAAATTTTTTTAAATTTTATATAGTATTTTTGACATATAAATATACATAAAAGTAACAAAAATAAATGTTTTGCATATAAAATTTGTACATCAAAGTGCTAAAAGAATTTATATTTCACAATAAATATTAACTATATAAATATATTTAAATTTATATAGTATTTATTTTTTATATAAAAAATATTTAAAAAAATAAACAATATAGAAGGACCGGGTCAACCGGGTTGATCCGGCCGGGTCAATGGCACGGGTCGACCGGGTCAAGGCCGGGTTGGCCAGGTTTTGACCGGGTTCATTGTTACCCAGTCTAAATAGCCTACTCGGACCGATTCCGGCTCCGGATCGGTCGTGTCCCTGGTCAACTCGCCCGGGCTGTCCGGGTTGAAAAGCAATGGTTTTTCTAATATAAAAACACAATAAACATAATTACAAACCCCATTTATTTAAAAAGTGTCAAAATTGTTCAAATGGAGACTATACATTGTAATAGAGGGCATTAAATAATAACATCCTCATATTAACCTACGCGAATAAATAGTATAGGTGGCTTATAAGCAATCTAATGTACGGGAAATGCTACAATCCCGTTACGGTACCATCCCGTCGGGTGTTTTAACCGTTGGATCATCGATCTTATCTAACTACATGTAGATCTAACGGTTAAAACAACCGACGGGATGATACCGTAACGGGACCGTAGTATCTCCCTTTAATGTACATGTAGTATGACAAATCTAAGCAAAACAATGCTATCCATAACTTTACAACCTATATCGAAATATCATAATTTGCAACGATTCAATGTTCTCATATACAATATCTACGTGGCTAAGATATATGTTTTCACAATAGCCGTTGACATATATGAATATAGGGAGATTTTACGGTCCCGTTACGGAACCATTCTGTCAAAATTTGTAACCGTTAGATCAACTGTTCACGATGATTAGATGATGATTTAACGGTTATAAATTCTGACGAAACAGTTCCTAGAGAGAGAGGGGTTGTTTGTGGACATGTAAAATAGGAGGAAAGACATAATAATGAAAGGAGGATTGCAATTTGCATGCGTCACAGACAAATTTTGTATGCTTTTGCCGGCACCATCATACCTTTTTTTTTTTTTATTTCGACTCTCATCAATATTTATTCACCTACTTCTCCTTTAATATATGAATCATTATCATTATTATCTGCCTTTCATTATATTGTCATCGAAAGAATAGAAAATTTTCTGAATATCCCATTTGTCTGTAAGAAAATATGATAGGATTATTAATGATATTCCCATTTAATGTATTCAGTCTTAGAGTTACAGACCTACCTATGTCTTTTTCCACAATTGAATACTCTTTGTATGGGTAGCATTTAAGCATTTAACGGTCGGGCGGGGGCCTCCCATGGTTGACCCTTAACCGGCCCGTCAGAACCAAAAAAAATAAAAAAGGCATCTGGAAACAGCCCGAAAAGCCTAGGTGCCGGTTCTCGGAACCGGCAACCTACGGGACATTAATCCTATAAATTTTCCTATCAAAATTGTTTCCAAATTGGTAATTTTTTACATTAAATTTAAACAGTCATATACTCTAGTTTTTCTGAGTTTTTAGGAACTGCCGTTGTGTTTAGTCCCAATTTTATACACCGTGGATTGGTCTTCTCCTTAAATTCTGACACTATATAAATAACTTTGAAAATTTGTACGCTCGTAATAACTTGGATTTTAATCTTAGAGGTCGGCAAATGGCAGACCAAAGTGAGTGGCGAGCGTATAATGTAAATGTGACGACTTGTTTACAACTTTATAAGCACTCAAATTCAGATCTGACTATTTATATTTATAAATTTATATTCAACACTGGAGTTTGGGAGATATGTAATCCTAAAATAACCTTACTTTGTCATATTTATAAATACAACGGGTAAAA